TGGCAGAGAATTGGGTTTCACAAAACAGCACTGAGAAAAAAGGAATCAATCTTGTTTTGCTTGTAACAAATTTGGCAACTAAACATCTTTGTCCATAAAACTTTGAATTCTCATAAAGAAGTACGTAAGCAACAAAAAGCCATAATATGTTATATTGAAGTAACCATTTGTTGGTTTTGTTTTGTTTAAGTGCACTAGCAACAGCAGCAGCAACTAATAATTAAATCGACAAATGAATTCACACCCTTCGAACTCAACTAAATTACGATCGTGCTGGCCAAACAGTTTTCCTAGAGGGAGTTTTCCCTTTTTCCCCCATCGGAGGGTTGTCGAATTTACAAAAATTTCAAGGCCAATGACATCGGTCACTATTTCTTGCAATGGGAAATCATTGATGCGATCCGATTTGTCTGCTCTATTCATTTCTTTCCTGTGTTCAGCTTCGATTTTTGGGTGGATTTGTTCGATTCCAGTTGGCTTCATTGTTATAAAAGAATTGTCATATGCGAGTGCTATATCCGCATGAAAGTGGTTTACTGCATTAGGATTGTTAATAAGTGCAATTGCTGTGAGAAAAAGTCGCATATTCTTACTTGGAATGTTTAATATCACATTTCTTTACAGTGATGTTCAAAATTACCTCTTATCTGTATATATAGTTTGTACATGCTCCCCCGAAATTGTTGGCAAAGTTCTAGTAAAAGTGCTCGAGTGTTTAGACCTACTCCATCCACTCCACACCTAAATCACCTTTTTTCGCCTGTCATAATATAGAATAAAACAGACAACCTGTCAGTTTGGGCCAACTTGTCAGGCATCGGGCAGGCAGAACTATCCAATAAAGAGATTGACAAGACAGGAAAAAGTAAAAGCAAAAGCTACAATGCTGCTAATGCGGCCATATGGAGTAATTTACTGGGCATCCAGGAATTTTGTGGATTGTTTCGCAAGATTTTCTTTTATAAACAAGTGGGGCTCACAAATGAGCCGCAAATGCGGGGCACAAAATGGGGAAATCCCGAGTGTGAAAATCCAAGGGTGCCCCTTGTGGAAAGTAAACTCTCAGCATGCTCCTGCATCTGCATCTGCATCTGGTTCTCCTCTCTTTGGCCCAGCCGGCACCAGATGAAAGAATTTACAAACGCGCAGTCAATAAATTTCAATTAAACAAACAGCAACTGCAAAACGGAGCCCCCACCACCTCCCTCCCTCCCTCACCCCTCGTTTTCCATTGCATTTTCTCATTAGTTTTTTTAATATTTTCCCGTATGCTTGCTTTCCTTTTGTTCACTTGGAATTGCGAATTCCTGTATACAAACGGATCAGGATTTACGATTGCAGCGCAGAATGTACGTGGCATCGGTTTTAATTAATAAAAAATTGAGCTAATCATAAATGGAGTCAGGACTAAAAGAAAAAGGGAGCACTCAGATAATGAGAATTAAAGTTGCAGGCAAATTTGACGTATTTAACACGCATTTTCAGTCAAGAATTCTGTTTTGTATTACAAAATGGATCAGACTTGCCCCCGACCATATGTTGTTTCTCTTTGGCCAATCTGGTCTACTTTTGGCCACCAGATTTCAGCTCTCCATTTGCGCCAAGTCGTTTTATCGACCTTTGGCTGCAGAACACATACACACACACACAAGTAATTAGTAAGCAGACAGTCCATGTAACAAAGTTTTCGCATACAAAAATTATGACTTTCATAATGCTCAAGTGGCGGCAGGAACTAGTGCAGTCTCCTTCCGGCCTCGCCCTCATATAATAACTCCCCTCATTTGGAAGAAACCTCCCCGGTTATGAATCATGTGTACAGTGAACTAAATATTAAGTGACTTTATATAGAAAACGCACACACACACATTTCGGCAACAGGCGCGTTCACAGTTGTAGAGCTAAGTTTGAAAAATCTTTTGAAATATTAAATAGTTGCTCGTCTATTGAAATGAAACTGAATGACTTCAAACAACAAAGATTTACACAATACTTAAATATTAAAATTACAAAATTATTATATTTTACTAGTGATTTAAGCATTGATAATTCAACTTGGTATGTTATACATCCACTACTGTAATACCTCTAAAAGATATATAAGTGTGTTTTATATGGCGAGAGTTGTGCGGAAAAGTCACCCTTATAAATAATAGTGGGTGAATCGAAAAACGCCTCACGGGAGCAAACACCGTTAGAGCAATTTCGTTTTCGGTTCTTTTCTGGCTTTTGTGGCAGGACAATAAGGAATTCTGAATGGGCCAAACATTTCCTCCATCAGAGACTACACTTGAAAGCAGGGAGGATTGGCCAAACGATTCCTCGGGCCTTAATCGATCTATGAAATCAAGTTGGAGGCAGAAATGGATCCAGTTGTGGAAACAATTTCCCCATCGGAAAACCACATTTTCCTTGCAGTTTTCTTTTCGATTTTGCACTCTTAATTTCGCATTTTGATGTTGCATTTCCGGCATTCGGCTCTATTTTCAGTTTGTGTTTGATGTCTGGGAAAGCGAGACGAAGTGGTAACTCGTTCAAAAAATATCAGTGCAAGATATTTTTAAGACTCGCGCATAAGTAGATCTGGCATGTATCACTGCGGACGGCAGTCCACGTAGTGACGAAGCGCACCAGGCGATGGTGCGAAAGCGACAACTAATGTCTTTGCTAATTCTGTTTTATTGAGCTAAGCGGAAGTGATCTGTTCTGTTTGCTTTACTCTGCGGTCTAAATTCTAAGAACACCTTCACTTTATGCTCCACTTTCAACTAACTCAATCGAGTATTGTTAAGCTCGAGTAAGATCAATTAGTCATGCCATCGGAGGGTTAATAAGCTCAGCTCAACTTGGCTTAATTGTTACTTAATTTATGCACGGTTTCGAGTAGAATTGGGTGCAAAAAACAAAGGGGTTTCTTTCTGGCAGTAGAGGAGGTAAGAACCTGAGTGTTTTCGGTGTCAATTGCATGACAATGCAGGGTTGCATTTAATTGCCATCCTGCAACGACTTCGTACCACCTTTTTCCCCAATCTCGGCTATTTTCTGTAAGAAGTGTGCCCCATCTTGATGTTTTTGTTTTTGCTACGGTTGACACGTGTCCTGGACATGAAATGGGTGTGGTCTTCCACCGTATTTTTTTTTTGTTTTGAGGCGTGTCGTCCTATCTGCGTTGTGCATCTGAGGATTCTGGCCGGCATTTAATTACCCAACACTTCCTTATTCCCCCGTTCTCAGATGATTCCTACTGGGATAATTGTTTTTAATTTTTGTCTGTAAGCCACATTTTCCGCTCCATTTAATCGGGAGCCTCGGAGCACATTTATCCATGGCATATTTGTTTATACCGACTATTGAGCTTTCTTTGAATTACTCTTAAAGGCTATTAAGAAATTAATTTATATTGCTTTATAAATATATACATACGTGTATATCGTATAATAATCGGTAACACATTTCGCTTAACACTTAATCATTTTAAATGATACAGAATACAAGCGAAAAGTATCTCATGGATGTGTACTTGCATTAATGAATGTATGTACATATTCGTGTTTACTATTAAAAGTGAAACGTGACTTATGGCCACCAGCGACGAAATAAGTTGAGATTGTATGTGACCAAATGGCAAATATTTCTGTCCATTTATCGGTGCAATGAAAAAATACAAAACAAACCGACAACCGGTGGTACAATTTGAACGACTCAAAAACCAAATTGAAATGGATCTACCGGGAAACAATTGGTTAGTTGTACTAGAAATAAAATAAATGTATACAGATATGTATAGTAGTCGTTACGCGCCGACAATTTTGTTAAACAAATAAAAAAATGTCAATGTAAAATGAAACCGATATCGAATTCTAGCCGGTTCATTGCGGCTCTAGAATTCATGCCAAGTCGTGCCCACATCTGTGACAAATAATTACCCATAGTAACCAGTGAATAGCAGTTAGGAAACAGACCGACTTGAGTTAGTATCAATGCGCTGTGAAAAACTCAATATTTAGAAATTTCCACCTAAAGTATCAGCTTTATGAAAATTGATTTCGTGCAAAACTGCAAAAGTCGAAAGCCTAATTGGGAAAATTGCCAGTCTTATCGATTGCATCACATAGCTGGTTGCACACATTGAGGAATCGGCATTGCAATTACTTATTATGCAACACAGCTCAAAGTATTAATTAAAAAAGGTTGGGCATGCAAAGTATTTAGACAAATTCCTTGAAAAAGAACATCGAACTATCTGTGGTCTGGACAACGAGTTAAGTATCTCATTCTTTTGACTATACATCTGTCGCATCTTTGTCTTCGGTTAAATGCGTTCTACTGCATATCTGCACAACACACGACTTCAGATGCAAAATGCAATGTGCAAAATATTGTTCGGGTATTGTTGTTACTCTTGCTTTTGTTTGTTGTTTCCTCAAGGTCTTTGATCGGGGTAGAGTTTGTTTGTTTGCTTTCCGTTCTGTGTCCAGTGAGACAAATACATCCGCATGAACAATAGCGAAAAGCAAACACGATGCGAAATAATTGAATTTAATTAACATGGGAAAGACCACAGACAAAAGTGACGAAGATTATGATTTCCATGTGGGTGAGTAAATGGAGGGGGCGGGGCTGTTCACAAATAAATAATTAAATAACTTTGAACAATGCTTGCAAAACCTTTCGATCCGATAGCCCTAGAATTTAGAAAGTAAATTAAGTACACTTTTGTGTGTATGCATTAGTTTAAAGCAAAAGCTGTGGCAATGATATCATATCGCTTTGAAAATTTAGATAAGACGGGGCTCTTTTAAACATTCTATCTATCTATCTTTGCATATTTATGATGTATTGATGTAGGAATAATGATGTAAGATGGAAAGTTATGTTCAATAGCTTTTCCCAGGTTAAGACCCCAAAACGAGTAATTATACGATTGCCTGGACCCATGGTGTCTATAAATCCACCCGCAATTGTGTGTTTTGGCCATGTTTGTTGGCCCTCTCGCTTACCTTTAGTGTAAATGCTGCCAGAAATGCTAAACTCCAGAGCCAGCGATGTTGCGGAACGGCTTTTTGCCTTTTGAGCCGGATTCTAGTAGTGGCTTTACTTAGCTGATACAACATTTTGGGGCCGTCGTTTTGCTGTTTTCGTTGTTGTTTTCCTCTCCTCCTGGCTCTCTTTTGTTGTCTTTTTTTCTGTGTTGTTGTTGCTGTGGACTTTGCAAATTTATTGTGCGATTTTCGAAATGGGGTTTTTCGCTAGTTTCTTTCGATTTCGGGCGTTTTCAGCGCGAGTTTAGTCTTTACTTTGATTAAATGCATTGTTTTCACAGCTTTTCCGTCAGCGTAGTACAATTTTATATATTTCTTTTTGGATCCAATTGCTTGCAATTTGTTGGTCTTATTTGAATTGATTATACCATATTTTTATTTTGTTTTTTTTTTTGTTTTGTGTTCTGCAAGAGAGTATGAATTAAAAATAAATGAAAGAGCGATCGCAGGAAGGAGACAGCTAGATAGTGTTGCTGTCCTGCTCTCTACCTGCTCTGCTTCTTCTTCATCTTCTCCAACACTTTGCGCTTGCGCCAAAAGCTTCAGTTGTTTTTTTCATATTTTTCCGCGACTTGTTTCTATATTTCTGCACAGTGGAACTAGCCTTAACCCTACCACTATAGAATTTCCATGAATATTTTACTTAATAACCCGATAGACATTTATTAAATATATTTCTTAACTTGGGTTAATCATATGCCAAGTTTCTATTCAAGTTTGCAATTCTGGAACAGTGTGATTTTGCAATGCAATAATAATTTCATTTAAATCTTTTTCGCAGATAAGTGCTAATTAATTGCACTGTCTTGAGCAGTTGCAAAAAATACTACTGATCAACAATTTAGCCTCCGCTGACGTCATTGAAATATTTAAAATATCGCAGCCAGCAAATAAAACAAATAAATATGAAGAACAAATAAAACTAAACGCCTCAAAACCAGTTTTGCGAAATCGAAACGATACACGGTACAAAATTCAAATTGCTTTGACAATTATTATATCTTATTGGGTGTATAACGATCTAATGTAATAATTATAATCGTAATAATTTGGTAATCCTTCTGTAAGACAAATTTAATTTGGGAATGTTGCTTTCTTATTTACTATAATTTCTGTTCTGTGTATAACTTGTTATTGCTGCACTGTGTTGTTGTTGCTTTCTGCGCTTGGCAACATTGCCATGCAAAAAAGACCTTCAACTTTGTTGCAAAGAGAGGAGCAGAGAGAGAGAGAGAGAGAGAGAGCTTTATGATCTCGGCACATGAAACACAAAAACAAAACAAGTTTTTATAAACGTATTTCTTCACCTCTTATTTATTGTTGAATGTGGGACAAGATTTTTTTTTTAATGCGGCTGGAAATTTTTCGCAATTTATTGCGAGTATTAAATAAGGATTTTACGAAACAAACCACAAAGATCCCCCAAAAATTAAATGCCGACAGAGAAACAGGAAGTGGAGAAATTTGCCGCACAACGAAATATTCAAATGAGGCTGCGTGTGAAAGAGAGAAAGCAGCGGCATGCCAAAAACGAAATAACACATAAAAAAAACCTGCGTAGGTGTTGCTTCCACCTCTCTCGCTCTGTCTCTGTCTGCCCCCTCTCGTCTTCTCATTTTGTTATTATTGTTGCACACACACACACAAACACACAGAAACAACTCTCAATTTCTGCTTTTACTTTAAGCTTTATTTCAGCATTTCTTACGTTTTCCACTGCGTTTTTCTCAAATTTTTCTCATTCTGCACGCCACCAAAAAAAACTAAATCATTTAAATATATACACCGTTAATTTTGTGTATTTTATTTACTTCTTTTCTGTTGTTGTCGTTGGTTAAAAAAAAAATAACAAAAAACGAACACAGACACAGGCGCACGCACACGTACACGTACACGCAGGCACGCGACGCAAAGCACAGACACAAGAAAAAGCGGAACGGACAATTGACAAATTTTGCGTTTTTCGAGCGTTCGCTTGCGGCCCGCCTAAATGAATTTCGCGTCCGTTCCGTCCGCACTCCCGTTCGCTCTTCACCACACTGAATTGGAATCTGATTCAGATTCGGATTCGGGACCCGAGTCGAAATCGAAATTGGAATCGAAATCGAAATCGGAATCGCCGACGCTCGTTTCACCTGTAGAGCTGGACAAATAATCGATGACATGCCGATAGTATCGATAGAAATCTGTTCGGCTTCTATGTTTTGTTAGTCCCTTTCAAATTTTTAAACAGAGCATTAACGGTTTTTTTAATGCGTAGTTACTGCGTTACTTTACTCGTAAGAGCTGAGATAGTCTGTGTATGCGTACTAAAACTAATAACAAACAAAACATATTCAGTTATCCAAAGCAACGACGAAAACCAATTTAAGGTGTTTCAAGTTTTCAAACCCGAATACAATCGATTATAATCGATAGTTCAAACCACCTCTAGATGGGGATTTGAATCACCGTTATTTGGCTATGAGTGCGAGCGAGGCAGCAATATCTGCATTCGGTAGCGCGCGCATTTCAAATCATTTATTTTTCCAGTGGGCAAAACAAATTATGAGCTTGGGGCTATGAAAAATATATTTAAGATTTGCATTCAGCTAGTTCGCAAGATTTGGTCTCAATTTACCAGTTCCGATTGAAACCTACCCTTTATGAAAAAATTTAATATTCGAACTCCTTTCATTTATATAATTTATTATTTATTAAAGTTTCATCTGCATGAACTGTTACTGGTTATTATAATTAATTATTGTTAATTACAGGCTAATTTTTAATTGCTAGAGATTAGCAAGTTCTAAAAATGACATTTCACATTATTATTCTTATACAGAGTATACCTCTTGACATTTGACATTACACTTAAATCTAAATTGCTAAAAAAAAACAATTTAAGCTTTCATTTTTATTTTGACATACATATAACAACGCAAGAAAAACAAACAAAATTTAAATAAAAGGATAAGCCAAAAGTGTTTAAAGAGCACAACTCGTATGAACAAACACTGAACGATTCGCTGGGGAATTAGCATTGGACTTTTAATTAAATTACACACTAGAAAAACCGAGTAATAATTAAAACTACAAACAAAAAATTGAGCTAAACGAAAAGTTAATAGTATATATGCATACGTTTATAGATAGATGAATTTCGCTATAAAACAAAAAATAACGAAACGTGTACCCCCTCCTCTACGCCCTTCACCATCCGCCATGCCCTCAACCCCCCCGAAACCACCCACCGCCGCATATTTACCACTAGAACCACTTGCCCGAAAAAAATCATATATTCTCTCAGATACGCCGGTGATAAGAACGCAACGCCAAGGACAATGGCAAAGGCTTTGATAACAGGTCGGAGCGAGATGGGAAGATGTCTCGCTCCCTTTCTGTGAGTATTGAACTACAGCCAAACTTCGCTAATACGAACTTCAACAACAATGAAAGATTTGAATTTCATTTTTTTCGCCTGGTAGACATTATAGACGTAACTTGGATCATTAATATGAATATTTTGTATTTAGCGGATTGGATTTTTTTATCTTTTATGAGGGTATGGATATGGTGTAGTTGGTTGTATATTTTATAATATACATTTTGGCATTCCTAGTTTCTAATTTCGTTCCCTATATATTTTCTAATGTTCCCAAAACTATAGAATGTTTAAAAATATAGCTGCGCCTGAAAGTTTTCTTTACATAGGAATATAACAGATTTGCAATTTAAAAATATTAAAAAAAAAATTAATTAAAAAAAATGTTAGTTGACAAGCTAATAAAATGTACAATTCCAAAGTCTAAAAGTTAGACTTGGAGAAGTTTGACTGTATGTAGTCTTCTCTCTTTCTTCGAGTGAGATGGCAAAACTAAAATCGAGCGTTTAATTTCCATCGATTGCAACATCCGTTTAACTATTAATGAGTTGTTTTTAGCACGTTCTAGACTTAGGGCGAAATAAATATATATTGTTTGTATGTTTTCAATTTTTTTGTTTTTTGTACTCTCTTTACACTGGTGTTTGGGGCGGAAGGTGATAACTGGGAAATTGCGAAATGGGGCTTAAATTTCAACTAAAACCAAATCCGAGCACTGATCTAATATTCATTCACACCCATGCTCACTCGCACTCAAACATATTTACAAATTAAACGTAATTACATAACGAAGATTATTGATAATGGAACGCATTTGGCAGCACACACCGATCGCCATTCAATATAACATGTAATCAAACTACTTTTTTTATACCGAAATCACACACAGAAACAGTAATAGCCAAAATGTATCGCTTATGTTTTGAGAAAACGATTATCGTGATCAGATCATTACTACTGCCATAATATCATAATATCAAAATAAATGCGAACTTATATTGCATTTTCATAACAAAGCCATGGTTATTTTTAAACTCAAATGAAACCACATTAATTTGTTTATAATACGAAACCCTTATAGAACTGTTTGCCGCATGATGAAGAATGCGTTGTGAACAAGTTGAAAAGTACGTAGAAAGCGAAAATCGCGGAAAATCCCATATTAAATTTCAGAATTGTTTGATTACAACGTACTGATTTGTTAATTGCTTTTATAAGCCAACTCATTATATACTGAAACAAAAAATGTCTGATTGCTCAAAGCTTGGAAATTTGAATACCAAAAAGGTTCTTCAACCCATGGTCTTTTAGCAAAACATTCAACACCTCGTTTTTAGTTTTTTGGCTAAATATTCAAACTATCTGGATAATGCTCGTTTTCCTGATACATTTTGGGTTTTCACTTTGCGATTGGCTAGGATTATATTACCGACGGCAAGTTGTATGCGGGCATGTGAGCTACCAACGACGTCCATTTCCACACCCAATTAGAAGGCAAACCAGGTTCCGTCAGCCCGTCATCGCAGCGTGCTGGTCAAGGTTCGATGCAGGACACTGGGACGCGTATGGAGCGACGGCGGCGGTGACGTATTGCTGTGCGGATCGGGCGTATCCGGTGATTCGCCGGCACTCAAACTACTGGCTGGTGATAGGGTGCAGGATGCTGTTTCTGCTTCGCTTAGGCAGCTGCTTAATTGCCGGATCACTCCCTGCGTGGAGTTGGTGCGCTCCTTAAGCTGCTCCCGATCGCGTTCACGCTGCTTTTGATGCTCGTGCTGAAACTTTCTGGCCGCCGTTACATTGACCACACTCACCGACTTGGAAATGGAGTTCTTGACCGATGACGGAGCCGGCGGCACCAAGGCCAAGGCGGGCGTGGGCGAGGGAGCCAACTCCTCGAGGGTTAACGTATTCGCTGGCGAACTGTAGCCATCGTCCATTAGACTCTCCAGGCCCTGTCCCCCAACCGTCCCTGCTGAATTCACACTCTTCTGTAGGTTCTCTATTAGATAGAGCACAATCCTCTCAAGTTGCTGTGGTGCCTGGGAGGCGGGTAAATCGGGACTGCTGCTCTGCGTGGGAATATCCGTCTTGATGATTGTCGAGAATTTCTCCTTCATCTCCTGCACCTTTTGCCGGCCGGCCTCCTCATCGAGCAGCGTGTTGACGCACAGAAAGGAATGCACCTTATTGCTGCCACGATCGACCTCCAGAAAGCCCTTGGTGTGCAGGTAGATGAAGCGACCGTTGCGGGATAGCAGACGGTAGCAACTCTCGCCATAGTCACTGTTGCAATCGTACATTTGTCGAAGTGCCACAATCACCCAGCGAACGTCGTCCAGGTGCATGAAACAGAAGGGACTAAGGTTGCGCACCTGTTTCGGGTGGAGAAGACACGATTAGTTAGAAACTGTTCAGGAAGTTAGTATGCTGTTAGTATACCCACCTCATCCTTCATATAGCCCGCCACCAGACCAATCCTTTGATCACAGTCGATGATGCTGCCGTCGATAAGATGCCTCGTATGGTACTCCAATTGATAGGGTTCTGGCTGTCTGTAGATGGTCAAGCCTATGGATCCCTCCGTCTCCTCGGGCGGGCGTTCTTCTCTCAGCACCCTGGCCATGGCCACCAGGACAATATCGTTGCCACTGATTCCGTGTAGCGCCGCCTGGGCAATGGCATCGTGCTGGGGCGGGACCGTCGCCGCTTCTGCTGCCACCGCTGCAGCAGCAGCCAGCATATTGTTGTTTCTGGAGCGTCTTATCAGCTGGGAAACAATGGGATAGTTGGCAGCGGCACCTCCGGTCAAGGAGGAATCACTACGTCGAAAGCAGCCGTCGATCTTCACCCGCTCGTAATGACGCGTGGCTTCCGCTCGCGTGGAAGCCCTAGCCAAGCGGACGGTAAAGCAGCGGCGATCCATGCGTAGTCGCTCATCAATGGTCGCCAAATGGGCAATTCTACGCGGGCTGGGTGTGCGTCGGTTGTAAGGGTCATCCTCGTCCTCGTCCACCTCTGCCTGCTGCCGCCCCAGACGGTGCTCCACCGTCTCCATTTCCTCCTCCTCCAGATCACTGCCCGAAGCTGAGGCCGACGTGGAAGTGGAGTGCTGCTGAGGATTGTGACCCTGCTGCTGGTGCTGATGTTGATAGAACAGGGTCTCTATATCCCTGGGTATTAGCTGTTGCCTCAACAGGTCCTGATCCTCGGGATGTGTGATCTGAAGCAGATTCTGCCCATACAAATCGGACTGACAGTGGCCCAATAGCTGCTCCACGCTGGTGGAGACCAGAACGATTTGGCCACTGCAGGTTAGGGTGATGAAACAACAGTCCAGCAGTTGCATTAGAGTGTCCGTTAGATGCAGACTGGGATTGGGTAGATCTCCGACAGGTGAGGCGGACATGCCCGAGCTCTTTATGCCGGGTTTCCTGCGACGTCTGGAAGCGGATTTGCCAAAGACATACTGGAGTCTCAGCCCATGGGTGGCGAATCTGAGGACGGCGGTTTTGTCCAGGCGTCGGGAGGATTCGGCTGCATGTGGTACCATGGTGGCCAGCTCCTGGATGCTGGCATTAAGCTTATCCCGTCGCTGTTTCTCGGCAAGATTGCGGGCCTCCCGTCCATTCGCTGGATCTGCGGAGCTCCCAGTTCCCGATCCCGATCCTGTGGACCCAGCTGATCCTGTGGTGCCCGTGTTGCCCGCCTCTGCTGCTGCCATTTTGTACTTTTCAGACTTTTTCTGTCGTTTCTGCGTCCTT